AAAATAAATGCCTTCGGCTTTGTCTTTGATATTTGAATTCTACACCTGTTAATATAATGGAAGTTGAGGCGATAGAACCACCTCTGAAATTTCGACGGGAGTTTTTAAGTGATAAATTCATTACTAGAGCCATAGGGAAAAATACTAACTATCTACAGAATATTCATATTTTATCAATTTTAGATCTAACTCATAAATATTGGACAAAGAAAAAATGTTCTCTTCTGGTAAATAGTTACTTGAGGATATCTCAGTACCGACGTACTTTCTATTCGTATGAAAATCAAGTTTTACCTATGTATTCACATATATTAGAAGAGCTTTTCTCAAAACATATTAATACCTTTTTTATGGAGAGTAATTTAGATCCAGTCGCTTTTCAATCATTTACACGGCATAAATGGCCAAATTATCAGTTTTATTTTACAAACGGATCTAAAGTACAAAACAAAGTAGGATGTGCATTAATTAATATTCAAAGTGGATTTAAAAAATTATTGAAATTGCCAGCTGAATCATCGATATACACTGCTGAAAAGACAGCGATTCTTCTTGCATTAAGGCATATACATAGTAACGAACCCTACAGCTGCATAATATTTACAGACAGTAAGAGTGTCGTCGACAGACTAACAAACGTACATAGATCCAAACAACTAAATCATATAGAACTAGAAATTATGACTATTTACAACAAAATTACAAATTTAGGGAAAAACATTATTATATCATGGATAAAGGGACACGCGGGCATTAAGGGCAATGAAATAGCAGATAGCTTAGCCAAATCTGCCCTAGACATAGGCGGAGATGCTCCCTTGAACTTACTCCTCTTTTCAGACTTTTCAGACATTGATATAATTAGTAAACGGCATCAAAAAGAAAAATGGCAAACATATTATCGAAACACGAGAACTGGAAATAATTACAAACAAATGCAGCCTGAAATACCCATAAAAAGATGGTTTCATACTCTATCAAATCGCCATTTCATAAGGGTTATAAACAGATTAAGATCTAATCATGCTCTTACCCCCCTTCATATGTACAAGTTGGGTCTCGCGGAGTCACCTTATTGCAAGTGCGGAAAAGAAGGTAACCTATTACATATTTTCCTTGAATGCTCCCACGAATCAGTAAACATAAACAAAGTTTATGATAATCTTATTATATTAAAAATTCCACTTCCCGTCTACTTGAATAATTTGATTTTCTCTAGAGATATCAATATATTAAAAACGATTTACGAACATATCAAAAACTGTAAATATAAATTGTAGCTTAAAACTAACCCTTATATTTAAGTAAATATTGTATTATAGCAGAAAAATAAATAAATAATTAAAAAATATATGTAAAAAATATTTATTTAATAAAAAATATATATATAATTAAAAAATTATATATATATATATATATATATATATATATATATATATATATATATATATATACTTATAAAGGATTAAAAAATAAAAAGGAAGATGTAAACCTCCGAGATATTGAATCGGGTTATGTCTAAGCGCAGGAAAAAAAATTTAAAAAAAAGTTGTAATTTATTAAAAATTGCACGTTAGATTGTACGGATGATTGTATGTTTATTCCTCTAATTGTAAAAAATTCCTCTGATTGTTAAAATTGTTTGTCTTTAAATTTGTCTGGCTAATTGGCTCGGCCAAGGCCATCAAACTAAAATAAAAAAAAACCTTATTAAAATAATAAAACAATATATGAAATTCAATTTATAAAAAACGCGAAAATAGTTATCGAGGCACCTTATAAAAAGAATAATATTATCCAGTGTACCAGATGCCAACTGTGTGAACACTCTAAGACTTGCTGCAATAGACCTTATCACTGTGTCAAATATGGAGGCAACCATATGTCAGCCGATTGTAAAAAACCTAGGAACACCTGCCATATGTGCACTTTGCAAAGGAGAATGCACCGTAAATTACAAAGGATACATGATGTATAAAGAGTTAATTAGCAGTAGAAACAGGGCAACAGGAGTATCGTTGCACACTCCAACGAACAATCAATTGCATCGTAAGAAAAATAAAGTACAGAATAATATGAACTCAATCAATCAAAATCACGCGACTTGCACCCAAATAACAAGTGGAATAAGGAATCCTTTGATTCCTTAACGAATTCAAAGCCGTGTTCTCACAACTAAGAAATCAAAATAGCATGAAGGTAAACGTGCATTTCAGTGATAAATAAACTCAGTAATAAAAAAAGGATATTACAGACATTATTAACTTTACTCAACATAACAAAATTAATATACTACTTATATCGAAAACCCACTTCACTGACAGAACGATGTTCAAAATCCCTCATTATTCTATTTACAACAACGACCATTCTGATAGAACAGTACACGGTGGTGCTGCTATTATTATACGGAACACCATACCAGACTATGAGGAAACAATGTATCGGACGGAAAAATACAAGCTGCAGTATTTTGTATCAGTTCTCAGCCATGGCAATATACAGCACTCCAAGGCATAATATTACCACAGCCGAATATTAAGATTTCTGTAGACATTTTTCAGAAAAGTTCTTAATTGGAGGTGACTGGAGTGCCAAGCATACAGACTGAAGGTCTGTATGCCAAAAATCTTAGACAAAACATAGCTAATACAAACAGCTCTTACTTACCTACATTGCAACCCACCTACTGGCCATCACATCCAAATAAAATTCCAGATTGTCGTGATTGCTTTATCCTCCATAGAATGGTTTTTAATTGTTTTGATATACAAGCATCCTGAGATTTGTCCAGTGATCATACTCCCATAATTGTCACACTATCCACGCACATTATAAAACGTCCGAATGTCTCTAAGTTGACAACAACAAAGACCAACTGAGATGTATTCGAGTCTTACATACAAATTATACACGCAGCAGCTGAAATAGTTACAACCCCTCAGAACGACAAAGAAAAAAGTGACACCAACATGTCTGTATACATAAAACGTCTTGTTGTACAAAAAAGAAGAGCCAGGCGCATATGGCAGAGAAGTCGCAATTCTATAGATAAAAATAAATATAGATTAACACGGCAACATTAAACTGCTCTACAAGACGTAAATAATAACACATTTGAACTATTCATCAACAGCCTGTCAAAACAAGACCACAGCATCTGGAAAGCAACGAAAAGGCCTACACAGTACATACCACCATTAAGGAAAGCCGGTGGAAGCTGGGGAAAACTGAACAAGAAAAGGCATCAATATTTGCAGAATATCTCTCACACGTTTTTGGTGGAGCTGAACTTAACAACAGTAACAACGAAGAACAAGTCAACAACTTCTTAGATATTTCCTACCCAATGGTGCTACCGATCAAATGCTTTACCCCTAATAATATGAAAGAACAAATTTCTAGATGCTATTACTACAAAGCACCAGGCTTCAGAAGCAGTCCAAAGTAGCATCAGGAAACCTTCAAATATACCTGATATTTATAGATTTTAAGAAGGCGTTTGATAGGGTTCAACATGGTAGGCTGTTTGAATATCTAGAAACATTTGGAATATATGATAAAGATATGAGACTTTTACAACATCTATATTGGAATCAAAAAGCTTCTATTCTGATAGACGGCAAAGAAACGAACAAAATTTGTACTCAAATAGGTGTTAGACAGGGTTGTGTATTGTTTTCAAGTTTGTTTAACGTTTACTCAGAAATAATTTTTATCAAAGCCTTGGAAGGGCAATGTGGAGTCCGAATCGGGCAGAAACTATTAATAACATCAGATATGCAGATGACACCGCAATCATGGTTGAAAGTATCGAAGATCTTCAATTCCTTATAGATCGAGTAACTAGAGAATGCTCTAATAACGGACTTAGCATAAATACAACAAAGACAAAGTTATTTGTGGTTAGTAAACAAGACCTCGGCGCTATACAACTAATAGTCAATATTGAACTGATAACAAAAGTTAACCATTTTAAATATCTAGGATGTTGGATAAACGAGACACTAAATCCGGATGAAGAAATTAAATCTCGTAAAGAAATTGCAAGAGGAGCATTTATGAAACTTTAGAGGAGATCTATTGTGAGCAATTCTCAGCTGAACTTACAGCTGAGAATTAAGTTCCTAAAATGTTATGTGTATCCTGTATTACTGTATGGATGTGAAATCTGGATTATGAAGGTTAACATGATGAACAAATTAGAAGCCTTCGAGATGTGGTTATATCGTAGAATGCTCAGAATATCAGGGGTTCAACACAATTTCAAACAGAGAAGTCTTGAACAGAGTAGGTCAAGGTAGAAGTGACTTAATAAAAATGATAAAAAAGAGAAAACTCGAATATCTGGGGCATATAATGAGAGGAAGCATATACAGGATAATGCAGTTGATAATCAAGGGAAATATCGACGGAAGAAGAGGAATTGGCAGAAAGAAATACTCATGGCTCCGAAACTTTCGTCAATGGATTGGCTTATCGGCAGATGAATTATTACATGCCGCGCAAGATCGAGAACGATATCGGCAAATCGTCACGGAAGCTACCCACGCCTAAAACTTGGACACGGTACTCAAAGAAGAAGAATTCATGTTAGTATTAATTATCGCTATAACTATACGATGGTCACTACTAGTTGTTATGTTCTTTATTGTTGTGACGTCTTCAAATATTCTTTTGTTGTTCGAGAGAAAATAGTCTAGAAAATATGTCTATCATTACGTCAAGAGACTTCCGGCATACTTTATCTTTAATTTTGTAAAATACCACATCTGGAGATATGTAATGGCATATTTTTATTCTGAAAATAATCTTACATGAATATCTTATTGTTGATTGAGACTTTAAACCTTGAATCTTAGGATACCTGTTGATTAAATAAGTAAACAGGTTAATTAACCAAATTTATCTTGAGCACAATATCTAATCAGTTTAAAAAAATTGTCTTCTCGTACAATTTGTAATTGTTTATTAATGAAATTTTCACGTTGAAGAACAATATGAAGTTCTTCATTATTTTTTTGTTTTTTATTGTAACTCTGGTGAAATCTCATACGGATGTAGCTGATACGGATGTGGCTCATACAGATATAGCTGTCTTACAAGATTACAATAAATGGACAACAACTGTACGTAGTTTATTAGATAATAATACACTTTCCACCGAGTGTTCAAAGCAGTTTGACGAACTGTTTAAGAATGGGCAGGCTGATCTTTGGAACTGTAAGTATTAAACTATAATATTTGACAATAATTTCCTAAAATTTAATTTGTTTTATTATTTCTTCTTCTTCTTCTTCAGCCTTAAGTAATCCAACTTTGGACATTTGTGGTCTTTCTCTGCTTCTCTTTCCTAACCATGGTGTCCATTGTTGTATTTAATGGTTCCATCTCTTATCCTTCAGTCCTGCATTGTGTTCTGCGAAGCTCCATTTTCATTTGGCAGCATGTTCTCCTGCGTCTTTTACTTTCGTTTTGCTTCTAATCCATTTGTTGGTTTTTTTGTCTATAAGTCTCACCATGAGCTTTGATATTTCCATCGCTCTTTGTGCTTTTACTTTTTATCCATGTTTGACTTGGTAAGTGTCCATGTCTGTGAGCCATACGTGAGTATAGGGAGGAAACACTGATCGTAAATTCTGGTTTTCAAATACTGTTCTATTTTAGTGCTTTTCAAGATCCAACTGTTTTCCAAATCCTGTCCAAGCTAATCTAATTCTCCTGGTAATTTCGACCATTTGATTTTATTTGTTAACTTTCATTGTCTGTCCTAGGTAAATGTATTCGCTTACTGTTTCTAAATTTATGTCGTTTAACGTTATTTTTCTAATGTTCGGTGTATTTGTCATTATTTTTGTTTTTTCCTTATTTATCTTATCGTATCTTAAGACCTACTTTTTACGAAGCTTGAAATAGTTGCGTCATCATGGTCTGTAGTTCTTCGAAACTTGTAGCGAATATTACAATGTCATCAGCGTATCTTAAATGACTCAGTTTTCTTTCATTAACATTTTTTCCCTTATCTGTCCAGTTAATGTCTTTGAACACGTCTTCAAGTCCAAGTGTGAATAGCTTAGGCCAAATAATATCACCCTGGCGAACTCCTCTGTTGATTATCTGGGTTCTTGTGTGAGAAATATAAATCACGGTAAAACGTTTGAGTAACTTTTAGGATTTCGTTCTTTTCTCTTATTTCTTTTCCATTTTTATCCTTCAAGGAGATTATTATAGGCTTTCCTAAGTTTATCTTGAGCATTTCAGGCCTCGGTTCTATTCTATTATTTTTTCTACCTTGTTTTCATTATAGATACTTAAATCTTTCTTTACTTCCTTCTTTATTTGTTTATTCAATTCTTTGAAACCATTGGTGTTTCGCTTTCCTTCGCTTAGAAATGTGCGTCTCTTTTTCATCGACCATTTTGTTCCTTCACTTATTTGGTCTTCTTTATTTTTTGTTTTCTTTGCAACACTCAGTCCTGCTTTCAAGAGCTTTCGTTGAATTTCTTTATTAATTGTGTTCATGTCGGAATATTTTTGTTGATAATGTTCTGCAAATTCTTTTCTTAAGACTTCTCTGTACGCATCTCCCTTCTGTCGTATTTTAGTTTGATCTATCTGATTACAATAATTATGTGGCCTGTTTCTACTGGTTTTCGTCTGTTTAATAAGAATCCTTGCTCTTAAACGGCAATGATCGCTGCCAGATGTGAATCGATTGAGACCAGTCATATCTTCAAAAATGTCTTTGTTCCCACACAAGAAGTAATCGATCTCGTTTTTGTCTTTTTATCGGGAAATATCTACGTCCATTTTCGGTTTGCTGGTTTCTTGCAGTATGTGTTTATGGCGTATAAATTTTGTTGTTCTAAAAAGTTATATAATTTTTCTCCTCTTTCATTTCTTGTGCCATAACCATGCACCCCTATTTTGCTTTCAGTATTTACTCTATCAGAAACGCTTTCATGTATAGAAAGGTATGGGGTGAGATACTTTTTGACAAGAAATCCTACTCCACCATATGTTTCGTCTATCTTCCCTGTATAGTATAAGCGATTTCCAGAGTTAAGATGCATTGTTCGTTTCTTCTTTTCACTTCTTACAGCCCTACAATATCCCACTTTATCTTGGATATTATATAATATTTATTATTTCTAGTCTCATAAAACACATATTACTTTTTTATATATCCTAAATTCTCATGGCTGTATTCTCATTTAGTGAGATAGTTTTAAGTTTAGTAGAAACGATAAGGCTCCTTGTCTTACCGTTTCTACTTTGACCTTATCATTTATTAAACCTATATATTATTGAATTGTGCCTAGCATACAATTTCTCTACTTTGTATTTTGTACTTTGTACTTTCCTCCAAGTAAATTACCCACCTCCTCAACTTATAGCCTAAGTATGACAATTTCTTTTTCTTCTTGTGTCTATCCGTACCGGATGTTGCCGATCAGCATAGCTATCCTAACTTTACTTGCAGCTATTTGGAATAGTCGGTTATAGACGTATTGAAACACTTCCTTAGGTTTTGAAGTCAAGATATTCTTCTTCTCCCTGATTCTCTCTTTCCAAATATCTTGCCCTGAAGAATGAGGTGCAATAAGCTATATCTGTGTTCATTTCTAATAACATGGCCAAGATATTTTAATTTGCGCTTTTTAATTGTGTTAATAATCTCGCATTCTTTGCCCATTCTACATACGGCCTCAATATTAGTCACACGATCCACCCATGAAATTCGTAAGATGCACCTGTAACATAACATCTCGAAGGTCTCAAGCTTTCCTAAAGAAGCTTCAGAGAGCGTCCATGCCTCGACTTTGTATAATAATGTAGCAAATACATAGCATCTGATGATAGAGATTTTGGTACTAAGTGGTAAATCGTGACTTCTGAAAAGAGACTTCATTTTACGAACGCTGATCTTGATTTCCCTATGCGTTGTTTTATTTCAGTAGTGGTCCAATTCACTGTTTATGTTAGTACCAAGATATGTATAGCTCTTTACCCTATCAATTGGCTGTTGGTTTACCAAAAGATGTGTATTTAATATTTCGCGCTTACTAACTACCATGTACTTTGTTTTGTTCGTATTGAGATCCAGCCTATATTCTCGACTTATATCTGATATAACCTCAAACATCCACTGCTGAACACAAGCATGCATCTGAATCCAATTTTAAGTCACTCTTTTTATGTCATCGGACCATCTCGTCGGTGATCTACCTCTGTTTCTGTTATGCTTATATTCGATGATTCCATTTTAAAATTCTTTTCTTCCACCGATCATCAACTGCCTTTGCTACATGACCTATCCAGTTCCGTTTTAGTGTTGTTATTTTTTCAACAACATCCGCTACCCCTGATCCTTTGCGTGTAGTAGCATTAGGTATTCAATCACGTAAAGAAACTTCTAACCTTATTCTCTCTATTGTTACGGCTATTCTTGTAAGCGTTAGGGTTTCTGCACCATAGGTCAACACTGACAAAACGTACTGATTAAAAACTTCCCTTTTTAGCCATATTTGAATCTCTGGTCAAAAACTATCCTTTATAATTTCAAATGCAGCCCAAGCTATTTGTTTTCTTCTCTTAAGCTTGTTTTGTCCCAAAGCTAATTGTCCCAACTTATTCTGATCTCATGGTCCAAATACTTGTAGAAGTCAACTGACTTGATGTCTCTGTATTTAACTGGAATATTTTTGGCGAAGACTAAATTCATCATAAATTGTGTTTTTGAAAAATTTATTTCAAGACCTGCTCTATTTGTGACAGTATGGAGCACTTAGAGCATTATCTGCGTCTGTTCAAAGCTATCTAAAACAAGAACGATATTATCTGCAAATTTAAGATGATTTAAAAAACTTATTTGTACATTAATTCCTTTCTTGTGCCAATCTATTGATTTACAGTATTCTAGCAAAGTTGTAAAAAAAGTTGTAAGCAATTCTTTGTTTGTCCCTTTTTTTTCTTTCTTGGGCCCGTCTAATCAAAAAGATCTCCGTTATCACTGAAGATGAGGCTTATTGTGTTTACTGCCCGTTGCTGTTTCCTAGAACCAGTCTAGAATTTTTTGTACCTGTAGAAATTTGTACAGGTTTTTTACGGTCCAGCGTCTCGCAGTTGCATAATACATGCTTTACAGTTATCACAGAGTCTGCAGTTAATATCTCCATTGTAAATGCCTATTTATTTAAGAACTTACTGGTGCATACCCGGTCAACAGTCCTGTTACTGTTCTCAGTTGTTGCCTGTGAATATGAAGCAGTTTCTATGTTCTTCTTCTATATGGTCCACCAATAAATATTTTTCCATATGTTTGTTTTGGAATTATCTTCCAATATCGCTCTTAACACTCTCTGATCTAGTCCTCTACAGTCCTTCGAACTGCAGCCGTTGGGATTCCTAGAGTTACAGCATTTTTGCAAGTTGATCTGCTTTTTCGTTGCCTTCGATGCCCTGATGTCCTGGTATCCCAAGAAGCTTAATCTTGTTCAGGTCTCCTAATTTATTCAGTTCTTTGATGCAGTCACACACCAGCCTAGACGTCACTTCCTAACATGCCAGGTTCTTTCAGACCCGCTTGAATGTCAGAAAATATCTGGATCTGCTCTTTTTTAAGAGCTCTCTCGTTATTTACTTTGGCACATTGCCTTATAGCATAAATCTCCGCTTGAAAATGGTGCAGTTTCTCCCCAAGAAAAAGCTTTCGCTAATTCTTGGATTATTGGAGTATATTCCTACCCCCACACCCTTTATAGTTTTATATCCATCTGTATATAAGATCTCTATACTAAAACTATATTATATGAAATTTAAATTTAGTTTAAAATTAACGTTAAATTGTCCTGTAAATGGATATCTGTTGGACAATAAAGCTATTAATATTATTATTATATCGTCTCTTTCTATCTATTAATCTATCTATCTATCTATCTATCTATCTATCTATCTATCTATCTATCTATCTATCTATCTATCTATCTATCTATCTATCTATCTATCTATCTATCTATCTATCTATCTATCTATCTATCTATCTATCTATCTATCTATCTATCTATCTATCTATCTATCTATCTATCTATCTATCTATCTATCTATCTATCTATCTATCTATCTATCTATCTATCTATCTATCTATCTATCTATCTATCTATCTATCTATCTATCTATCTATCTATCTATCTATCTATCTATCTATCTATCTATCTATCTAT